TGCGTCGATAATGCGTATTATAATGTATAACTATATAATATGCTCATAAACGTTATTATAATGGTTACACGAAGCCGTAATAAATATAATTTAAAATAAATACTCTCCGGTTACCAGCAACATAGTTCGGCACGTGCGTGTACCTATTATAATTATTATTTTTTTCCTTCCCCCGACGACGAGTCGGCGGTGCCCGTTTGTTACACACTTCGCGCACTGCACCACGACAGCGGTCGCAGGTTATAATTGTAGCAGTATTCACTGTGCAGTGAACGTGACACATGATATACAGAGTGATTCGCTTGACGTGCCATACTCAATTATTGAAGTCTGATAATTGGATGTTGTTTTGCGATTTTCAAAAAAAAAAATGTCTGCTTGGATACACAAGCAGCTATACACATTGTATAATATTGTGTGATCCTGAGAGTTCACGTTTTAGGTAGGTATCGAGCATAAGAACGGACGATCATGTTAGTCCGTGAGTATAAGCAATATGCATAATAAAAAAATCCATTCTATTTAGTATAATATTAGTGACAATTTACTGTTGATCAAGTAATAATGAAAATTGTTTATTTTGTTGGAAATGTGCAGAATTTGCTTTTTTGAATAAAAATTGAAAAATTATATATGTTGAGGGAATGTTTATTTTAATTTGCTTGAGCGTTATGTTAAGTTTTCCTAAAATAAATTAAGAGATAGCTACGTAAGTTTCGTCATCCCGCCCTTAACCAATCTTTAAAATTTAAATGCTCATAAATGAAAAAAATAATGTACCTACTTGTTCGATGTTGACATTTCAAAAACGATTTTTTTTTTGTGTTTTTAATGAACCTGTATTTAAAAAATACACGAAAAATCAATTTTTATTTCAAATATTTAACATTGTCTCTCATAGAATATAGTGCTAATAATATGTAGAAAAACGTAGCTTGTCCGAAATGAAATAATATTGATGTGAACCGACTGTTAGAAAACTAGCATGAGGCCTGCAGTTGAATGGACCATTCTGTACACAAATACCTACAAGTATAATAATATATATTATATACATTACACTGGCGACGAGTTTTAAAAATAAACGAGCAACGGGCCGATATTAATTTTTCTTTTTATATAAACGCATGTGGCACCGTTGAGTTTTGAATGGTTATATAATTATAATTATTTTATTGTTCACAGAATCACAGAAACGACGACAAAGTGTAAAACACACTAAAAAAAAATAGAACACCATCGGAGTAAATCGACTCATTTTCGGTAATGCCGTGCTATGAATCACAGCGACTGCGACAGGCGAAAAAAATGGCAGGCGCGGAAGCGTTTCGCGAGACACGAAAAAAAACCAAATGATAATCGACAACGTTGAAGCGTCTTATTAATTGTATTGTTAATTATTATGTACCTGCAGCTGCTGTTATCACTTATTATTAAACCGTCAATAACGCCATTTTAAGCCCCAGGAATTTTTCACGTTAGGTTTTTCACGCTTTTAAAATATAAACGACAAAGTATACAAAATGTGCATGGGTATAATAATTAATAAATACTGAATGAACTACATTATTAGCTTCAAAACAATCATAATATTATGCTGCTATTAAAATTATTGTATCTATAATAATAGGTACAATAATAATTCTTATAATTAATAATGTTATTGCTAAATGTAAGTATAAACGATAAATATAGGTAATGACCAATATGGATATAAACGTCTATTGATAGTTACTTCCAATAAAATGTATTTAAAATACTTTTTATTTGTGATATAACAATGTAAAATAACTAATAAGTGTAACATATAAGTAAATGTTATTTTCCACCCTCCCTCCGATCGTCGAATCTTGGATTGAGACAATTGATTTCTGAATTATTATTGTACCGCAGAATTTATTCGCAAAAATTGGCGGGCGTAAATATTTATTTTAATTTAGTTTTATTTTTAAAAAAAATTATAAGATCTGTATCATTTGACACAATGACATTATACGCTAGATTTACACAAAAATATGATCTGTGAACAAAAAGTATACAATATTTTATGAAAGAAGCTATTGATAACACTTTTTAACACTTTTCTTAAGTTTGGTTACACGTCTGTCTGTGATCAAATCTTGCGCGCTCGATTTGAGGCACTTTTTGAAGATGAAAAATTCTGAAAATTTGTATAGACCTTGGTCTTGGATGACAATACAATAATCCGTAAAAAAATTTTTTTTAACTAAAAAGTAGAAAATAAAAAATTAAAAAATTATTTTTTAAAAACACAATTTTCTAAAAAAACAAAAAAATAATGAAAAATTTAAAAGTGTGTGGCGCTCTTAAACTTGACATATTATACCACACACTTTTAAATTTTTCATTATTTTTTTGTTTTTTTAGAAAAGTGTGTTTTTAAAAAATAATTTTTAAACCTAACCTGACAGTATACAGTGTTTATTTATTTTTATTTATTCTTCGAGAAAATTACTGGCCTCACTGAAAATATCCTGGTATATTTTGTAAAAATCTTCGGCTTTGTTTATTGTTATAAGTTTTAAATTCGTATGGATTATACTTATATATAAGTATTTATAAATTCGTTTCTGTTATTTTTATTTTTTCTTCTTCTTATATTTCGTCTCTCTCCGAATAATAGTTGAAATGCAATAACTTCTGTTAAAATTTCGTTAAAAATAACAGGGACAGGGATGAGTATTATTCACTCCTAGGGCAATATTTGTGTTTTATTTAGGTTCAACTTTTCGCATAAACCCCCAAACTATGAAATTGGTTTCTATATTGGTCTGCATTGGTTTGAGACTTTGAGTAGATTTTTGTACACGAGAAGTTTTATACTAACAATTTAAGTGTGTGTTTATAATATTATACAACGTAGGGAGTAGGGTTTGTAGCATATACGATTGTATTTTAGAGATAGTCTCTTAATACTTATATGGCGGGTAAAAAATATCCATGACGGTAGTAGGAATAATATAGCTATACACTCGACGACGACGGCATGTGTAGGGTACTATGGGGTCGGGTCGTCGGTTATAGAAGAAACGTGTCAGAAATCGATTTACGACATGTATAATACATTATATTATATTATTAACGTTTTATTGCTCACGCAAAAGACGTAACCCGAACCTATGTTATAATGGACCGCGGTATGTTACATGGGTAGTTATAAACTCGACGCGGCGTTATTGTCGTGTCGTGCCGAAGACGAATACATTGCGAGCACGTCTTTCGTGGCGTCATCGGACGGGATATCTCATATCATATGCCTACAATAATCTACCAACATATAATATATACCTGCCGCTGTGGTCCATATTATTATTATTTATTATTTTGGCCCTCTGATCGGTATCTGTTGCACCAGTGGGTCTCCCGTTGACCGGACTTGGCGCCACTAACGTATCCAAAACGTAGCGATATAGTGGTGGGGATCGTCCAGTAATATACCGAACGTTCGAGGTTGACAAACGCGGTCCTCGTCCATTATTTTACAACTCCCCGGTACGGGAGAATATTATTTTTTCAGCATCTCCGACCCGACTACAATATGTATATTGAAGCAAACAATAGAAATACCTGTATAGGTAAAATACCACCGTCGGGGGGTCGCTGCTACATTGTCCCGGGCGGGTTGCTAGCGATCGTTTTATACTACGGTCATCCGATTCATATCATTATATCGGAGAAGAAGTCCATAGCACATTCGAATACGTTTCCACATTGACACACATTGTTGGGAGACGATTTTTTCTAGATATAAACGGTAATAATACGATAATGGAGTAATTTGAAAAATAACAATATAATAATAATAATATAGGAGGTTAGTTTCGCAGTATCCATCTGTACATTTGTTATTGTTTAGAATGATGCAGGAAATGTATACTTTAAACACAGGTATATATTATTATACACACTGCAATGTTATTGTATTATATAGCGCCATTGTGGTTTCTCCTTTATTTTTATAATAATAATTGCTGTGATTGTAATAATATAACGTAGGTAGGTAGATAGGTACAATTAAATATATTAAGCACTTAATTATGTAATACGATAATTATAATATGTAGATTTTATGGAAAATATGATGAGACATGCTGCAGAAAAAAACCTACTCGAATAAAACGAATTATTATTATGTCATAGGTTTATTTATATATATATATATTGTGTATCAAACTTCAGTAGCTCCGTTATGCAGTATAACACGCCAGAGATAAACAGTACTGTTATTCGATTATGAAATTGCAGACCTCGAATGTCTTCAAAGAACTTAAGAAAAAAGCGCCGTTTATGTCGTTCAAACATAATAACTAGCAATTCGAATTCATCTATATTTCGGGTAGGCGGAAAAAAAGCCCACGGAAAAAAAGCCCAAGGAAAAAAAGCCCAAAAAAAAAAGCCCACGGAAAAAAAGCCCAAAAAAAAAATACACTGAGGAAAAAAAGCCCACGGAAAAAAAGCCCAAGGAAAAAAAGCCCAAAAATATAATAATATATTAATAATACATTACTATACTATAACAGATAATAATCATAAATAATTGTATAAGAGGCATATATAGGTAATTTTATAAAAGAAAATATTAAAATTTCAAATATGACTTATACATAATATATAACTATTGAAAATTTTTAATGTATTTTAATTTAAGAAATATTATTAAGGTATATTATTATATAGAGGGTTTGATACTGCCATGAACTGATGAACCACCTGTCAATAAATTGCATTTTTATTACCCAACTATTGATAAGCACTTTTACATTAATTTAATTTATATTGTTCGGTATTTACCAATATAATTTATATATATAACCAGTCAAAATGTTAAAATTTATCAATAACTGGGTAATATTGACACTCCATATAGTACTCCATTACTTGGTTATTGAGATACTATCTACACGTCCTACTAGTACAGTTTTATCCAGTTATACATTTGTTATATATTTTATACTTTTGTTTTACCAATTTTTGTGAATATGGAGATTATCAAATCAAATAAAGGTGGTAACAAAGGTTTTTACAAAGGTTATGTATATGTTGTAAAGTATATTGGCGTATCAAAAATAACCTGGAGGTGTTCTCAGAGGTGTTCAATGAAATGTACTGGAGAATTATACACCGATCTCAAAATGGAGAACCCAGAAGTAAAAACAGGACATAGTCATTTGAAAGATGATGACAGTGTTAAGATAGAAAAAGCTTTGTGTGCGATGAAGGAACGATCGAAAGCTGGTTTATCTAAACCACTTGAAGTTTATGCGGCAGAAATTTCTAAGTTGGATGGTAACACTAGAGCGAAGATGCCAGTGGAAGACCATGTTAAAAGAACATTAAGAAATCAACGTTCTGCATTAAATCCAGTTGAGCCAACTAGCCTTGATAATTTGGTCATTGATGGTAGGTACCTAAATTTTATTAATTAATTAATTATTTAAAATTCAATTCTTTACTTTTAACAGATGAGTGGTGCACAACAGGTCATCCTGAGTATGAAAATTTTTTAATTTTTGACAATGGTATTAATTCCGAAGAAAGGATTCTAATTTTCGGGACTGTAGAAGGTATGAATAATTTATCAAAATCCAATACTTGGTATTTAGATGGTAATTTTTCACTAGCACCAAAATTATTTTTACAATTGTATGTCATAAGAGTAGAGGTAGATGGTATTTTTATAACTGCAATTTATTGTCTATTACAAAGGAAAACATCTGAAACATATAAAACAGTATTTAGAACATTGGTTGAAAAGTGTGCAGAGCAGAATCTGTACCTGGATCCAAAATATGTGCATCTTGATTTTGAAAAGGCTGTAATTAAAGCTGTGCATAAAATCTTTAACAAAGAAGTTATTATACGTGGGTGCTTCTATCATCTGTCACAATCAACTCACAGAAAAATTCAAGCTTTAGGTCTAGAAAAATTATACCATGAAGACCCTAACTTCACAAAATTCTGCGGAATGTTAGATGGTTTAGCATTCTTACCTCTAACAGATGTTGAACAAGGAATGTCATATTTGCGATCTATTATGCCTGATACTGCCTTAGATTTAGTTGAATATTTTGATTCTACATATGTAAATGGCACTTTCAAGCGAACAAATTGTCCGATCAACAAAATAAAATTTAAAAAAGTTCAACCAAGGTTTCCTCCAAGTGTCTGGAATGTCCATGAGGCAACGTTGAATGATCAACATAGAACGAACAATACAACCGAGGGTTGGAATCATAGGTTCTCAAATCTAGTAGGTCATAACCATCCATCCATTTGGACTCTGTTAAAAAAAATGAGATTAGAAGTTGCTGTAGATGATACCAAAATAAGGCAGTACAATTTAGGAACTATTCAACCAGTGAAAAAAAGGAAACTTACAGTAAAAAATCAAAATACATTAAAGCGACTATGCGTAGATTACAATGAAGGAAAAAGATCAATTGAAAACTTCTTAGACGCTATTTCATACAACACACGAATTAAATTGGATTAATTTTACTAACTTAATGTATACTTAAATATTGTAATTAAATGTTTGACTAGTGAATTATTTTATGTAATTTATATTATTATATTGTATTAAAAACGACTGACGAGTGACAACTTACTTACAGAGTACTCACAGAAAAACTACTTTACTTTAAAATCACAATTATGTATTATCATTTATCATCACAATTTATTATTATTATTATTATATAGTAGTAGAACAGTGTAGGAAGCTGGTGAAAAAGATAATGTCCTGTTAATCATAGTCCGTGATTGATATCAATTATTATTATTATTATGTTACAGTATCACACTATACCCAACAAAATATTTATATTATTATTGTATTATTACAGTTGAAAATTGACTGACCTGCTGTGACTATTACTATTATAATTAACAATTAATTATTATTTTCATTATAATATATAATAATATATTATTATATTTTGTTCACATTTATATTTGTATTTCTGGGCTTTTTTTCCGTGGGCTTTTTTTCCTCAGTGTATTTTTTTTTTTGGGCTTTTTTTCCGTGGGCTTTTTTTTCTGGGCTTTTTTTCCTTGGGCTTTTTTTCCGTGGGCTTTTTTTCCGCGATTCATATTTCGCGTACGTGTACCGGAGGGTTGGCTCATTTCGAAGTCTTAAGCCCACGATATCGGATGACGTTTAATGACGTATAGCGAGATTAGTTTTAGCTGATATTCTACACTGACTACGCAAGTATTATACTTCCCGTGATAATAATATTATAAACTGTAATATCATACATGTGTAACACACGAGGACGAAAAATTGAGTTTGGTACACGGGTGTGCATGCTCTTAGTTTTTTCGCTTACCGTGTAATTAATACTGTACCTACAGCACCGATCATTTTTTCAAACAAGTGTCACACTGACCCAAGTTTTTCGCACGGTTAGATCGGTGTAAGTATGTATATAAATTATTTAGTGACGTCAAAAAAACTGCAATAATATTTATTCGAAAATCGAACGAAACACACCGTTTTACACAACATAATATTATTATTATTCAAATTTCAAATAACAATACCGTGGCGATGATGAGTGTGTTTGTGACTGTTGTTATTATTTTTGCGCATATCATCCGAAATGACTCACTTAGATGATCAAGTTTATTCCGAAACCGGTCCTCATGCACGAATAACACATAATGTAATATGCAACCTATAATATTATAATGTTATTTAAGTGTATTATGTGCGTAAGATCTTTACTATAACTGACACACTCTACGCGACGATTAATGCAATATTATTCAAATGACCACCGCAGGTGATATATATATTATTCACACCTATAATTCTCGCCTGCAGCTTATGCCGTACGTGGCGATATTGTGCATAACATTTCGAGTCGAGTACCTATATAACTGCTGCAGTTCTGAGTGTATTTATAATATTCTAACGAAACGTAAGATAATAATATTAGTGTTTGTCGTAGGCTGTTCAAATTTAAGTATACATATAGATTATATAGGTATATCTAAAAAACGAGAGTCTAAAAAATAATGGTGTTTATTTTTTATTTATTTGAGATACACAATCTGTACAAATTAGCACGCAGTAACCATTAACCATACATGATGATTGATGATGTATAAATTGATGGTACAATATGTGAGTAAGAAGCCACCCATTAGCGCACTAATTATGACACTATATTATGATGGGCTTGGGTAAAAAATATTAATATGAAAAATATGAAATATTAATATGAAAAAAAAATAATGATTATATTGTTAATCATAACAAACAGCAGTACCTACACAATACAAAGTATCTATTTGTATTTACGAGTTTAAAGTACACATCCACTACCTATACATTATTTGTTTAATTAATTGACGTCTAAACCGCATCTTCGTTTTATTGGTTCTATTAAACGCTCGAATAATAAACACAACGAGATTCTCGCCTTTCAATCAATTTGTTTATATTACTTCGCGTGTATTTTAACATTAGAACGTAATCTAAAGAAATCTCACTAAAAGTGAAAAAATAATACTCAACAATGTTATAATGGCTACTACAGTAGCTATTATATACCTAGTTACATAATTATTATTTTAAATATAATGGATTACGACAACTTCTAGAAACATTTCCTCAAAACACAGTTATATTGTTATACAGTAGGTATGACTACGTGTCATTACTACTTCGTCATCACTTATTGGTTATCACAATATTGCATAAGGAGGTGTGATTATAAAATATTTTAGGAAATGAAAATAACGTCGTGTACTACCTACATCAATAATACACTATTGAAAATAGAAATCGTAGTAATAATAATAGTAATACATAACTACACCATTTTAATATAAGGGTATTTTTCAGAAATGCCACTACAATGATGTATTAATTTCTAAAAAAGGTTTGTTTTTAATTATAATAAAAATGGACAATGATAAACCGTTTTAAATTTTAATACATTATATTATATGGTCTGTCTAGACTTTTTTGTTAATGATGATAATAATATTATATTATAATTATTTACTTCAAAAACTTTGTGAAACCGCCACATCGTGTTTATCATTCGTATTTTATTAATTCCGTTTTAATGAATATTTTATGAGCTCTATAATAATACTATGCACAAAAACACTGCGCCCATATACACATAGATATCGTACGCCATGTAACATAAACATGTAGAGTGATGTCAAAAGCCCCAAAGGGAATGATGTGAAAATTTTAGTTTAATATTCAAAATGTCCTTCTCGTTGCTTTTAAAATATATTATATTATGATATTATAATATTAGGTACGTAGAACTGCATATTTCGTGAAATGAGCATCGAAAACTGTGCATCCCGTTTGTTGTATACTCTGCAGTAGCAATATACCTTATAATATATATATTATGCCAAATTTCAAAACCTTTTTTTATGGATGTAGTCGTATTAAAGCAAACCGTCTAAAAAATTTAAACTACAAGATATTTAACAACAATCATCGTTATAATTATTAAGGTGTAATATTATGATCATTATAATTATATAATTACTATATTAACTAATACGATATTGAAGCAACAGGTTTTATCGGCCAAGTCGTATAACTTATGTCCAATAAATAGTGTTAAAAATATAGTTGTGAAAAACGTTGTCTCTGTGCATGGATCATATAGTTTGGACCTATTATGTCTATTAATGTTATATAACTATTATTTTTTTTATGACTTATGAATGTCGATGACAGCAAGTTTACTAATGATTTAAATTTGTCAATTTCGCGAAAAAATGCACTCTATATATTATATTATAATACATTAATACCTAATATTTATAGTATCTATATAATGTTTTTCTATAATATGTAAATAATAAGTATAATGTGGCAATCGTACCTATGTAATATTATGGTAAGATAATATGCAACGTGAAAATCTAACATCTGCAAGAGTGAAATATAATATATATAATACCTGAATAACACGGTGCAGGGTATAAACTATTTAAGCAATAAAAAAGTAAATACGATTTCCAGCTCCGTGAGAATTGTATCCTCAGAACACAAGTATATATTAATACGTATATAATATTTAGGTATACTCGCAGGCGGATATTGCATAGTAACGCGATAGGTATTTGATTAATTTATTCCGCCTTAATACACGTTATGGACTAATTCATTTACGTAATTAATATTTTTTCATGTTTTTATCGTGTCTTAAATGAAAAAAAATTTATATTCGAATGACGGAGCGGGAAATGGAAATACTCGACGACGACTATACGAATGCGTGTTCGATGATATTGACCATTATTTGCGATGTAGCGTAGTGCACTAAAAAAAAAAAAAATTATGTAATTAAGTAACAAAAACGAGCAGTTTAGAGTATTAGGCAGCTCACCCATAACTTATAAGGTGTATATAATTGTAGCAGTCAATATATTAAATGGACGTTGATTGATATCAGTTTGACGGTATGGGTAATCACTCGCCGATCAACCTTTTTTTGGTTTTATTATTATTACGTATAATCTATATATATATATAAAAATAGAGCGTGAAAATGTCGTTATACCTCATCAATCGAGAACGGCTGGTCCTATATGGCTCAAATTTTTTTAAGATGTACGGAATTGCCAGAAAGAAAGAAAATTTTAGGAAAATCCACCGGAAAAGTAGGAAATCTGGATGTAAAAATACAACAGTGCCTCAACAGTGTATTATATATTGGTTGCTATTGGTTAATCGGGAATGTTTGTTGATTTGTATTATTATTTTTGTCAAATATATATGAATATATCAATATAAATATGAATGTTTGTGTGTATATTAGACCTCTGGGAAGAAGACAGGCTAATTTAAAAATGGTTAAATTTGGTTTTTTTTTATTTATCTGATATTAATACGGTTAGGTTAGGTTAGGATTTTGTATTAATTGTTTATATTAATCCACCATAGGTGGAATACGACAAACTTGGTATAACTTTGGTACTTTAGAGTTAAATCATACACTTACGTACCAACAGCACGAGGTCCGCGATCTACCGCAGGTAGATTTTCTACTTGATAATATACTGCTGCGAATCAGAATTTTTATTCCGGGCAACGGAAAAGTTAGGATACATTTTGAACACCATACACCGAATATTAAATAACGAATTGAACAAAGTTTGAGTCATATAGGGTTTGTACATTTAACGAGCAACGAAGTACACGGGATCAGCTAGTTTAGTATGATTTCAATTGGTGTCACGTTATTTGGTTGTCAATTAATATTCATAAATACATTTTGTACGTGAGCCTTGAGGAAAAAAATTAATTCATTACTTATATTATATTTACGATTTTACACAAAAGCCACTGCTGCGATTTTCGACCAAAATAATATTACCTATTAATATTTATTACTAATATTACTATTATAATAATTACATAATATATTAACCATTTACTGCAGAGTGTTATCCCAGCGGTATCTATAGTTTTTGGCCAGAAACGATAAGACAACTACAACAGGTATTATAATAATAAATAATTATTAATGGGTAGTACCCTTAACCGTTGTTTGTCACTTTTCCAATTCCAAAATGAAATTCAATTATTAATTTAGTTTACATAAATCTCTACTGTTAGATGAAAAATGCAATGAAAATCATAGTTTGCAAGTCCAGCCATTGCTGTATATATTATTAACACTGTACCGTTCAGAATCCGTTCAAAAAAATTTAAATTTTTTAATTATAATGAACAGTCTTGACTGAAATAAAATTACGATTATTAGATTATTAAGCTAAATAATAAATCTGTATAGGTATAGTTACCTACAACGTAGTATTCGATATTTTATGAAATGTGAAATGAGATTGTACACTTAAAAATCAACCAATGACTCACAATCACAATCGTAGAATGTTGCATTGATTATTAAAGTTATTATGATACGCGAGAAAGTCGAAGAGACGGTAGAAAGACAGCGAAATCAAATTTAATAATGCGGACCCAAAAGGCAAAAATAAATAAACATTAATTATTAAATCTATCTAAAAAAAATGTACATTTTTTTTTAATGCTGATGAATGGTGGTCATTCAGTGTACCTACAATGTAATGTTGAAAACGCCCTATTTTAAATACAGTATAATACAAAATTAACCTGATCGATTTTTGAACTAAAAATAAGAACAAAAAATCTCGTTTTCATTTCGATTCTCGTTCAACTGATTTTATCATGTGATTATACATTTCGTTTCATTACATTTTAACATTAGATCATCATGATATAAATTGATATCCTGAACAATTATTACTATTTTATATTTTTGTAACTAACTGAATTTATAAATTGTATTAAACGACACCACTATATACGTATTGTGTTGTATAAAATTATTATGGTACCTACATCCAAAAAGAAAATGCTAGTTTATTTTTTATTATTTTCTAATGGTAATGGTAGGTAATAATATAATCATGAGTAATATTTCAATACCTTTTTTACACATGGCCATTATATGCCAATAATGATATGATTATAGAGTCACAAAATCTAGTACACAATTCATTACTTTAAATCAAGTCTATTTCTCTATATTCTTATGCAGATAGATTGAACGAAACTTATGTATAATAGTAAGAAATATAATCTAAAAAGGTAGAATTTTTTTTTTTTATTGCTTGAAAGTATTTTTAGCATTATAAGAATATTTACAAAGTATTTAAATTCATTGGATATTAATATAATATATATAGGTATGTATTTACCTTGATAAAACATGCATTTGATATCATTTATTATAATAAATAATATATAAATATATAAATAATAATATTATAATAAATGATATCAAATGCATGTTTTATCAATGTAAATACATACCTATATATATTATATTACATATAGGTACTCTTATACGATTAAAATTTATCCAAGTTTTCAATTTAAGTAAATTACCGAAATAATTAGAATTTTCAGATTAATTTCTGGTTTGAATATTATTGCTTTAAATCATTTTATTTATTTTCAAATGTATTTTATAATATCAATTATAACATTTTGTATAGAGACTATACCCACCGAACACTAAAAATATTATACATTTTAACGGTTAAGTGACATTTCAAAGTATATACCTATATAAAATAATATATATGTGTATATTTGAGTATGTTATAATCCATGAAATTAATTTGGAGACAGAATAAATACCTATAATAATACCTATATATCGGTAGGACGGTAGATTATAAAGAAGTTCGATATTCAAACAAGTATTTTAAATTAATTTGTTCCCATTATACTATATACATAATATAATATACATATACTTATACACGAGTAGTTATAATTCAAACGACTGAACTTGGCTGTCGACGTTTGAAGCATTCCGCTATTTCGGCATAATTTATTGAAACCAGCCAACTGAAAGGCGACAGAAAATCAACAGCCCGTGGGGTGGCCAGAGAGAAATACTACATAGGTATTTCTAACAACATTGTTGAAGCCGAATTTCTCACTGGAATATTATACGCCGAACATGATTTCGAATAAACGAAAAGGAAAAATAATAATAAGCGTCATCGAGTTTGATCATATTATTAAAATCGGAGACTCATAATTTATGCTTTATATTGTTTACTGCCGCCGTCTGAGAATGATCGGCATTCGTGGTTGTGACATTTTATCATCCGCGTGCGGATTGAACACGTATAGTATACTATTACGTAAAATGTGTTCAAGCAAATAAATCTTTAAGAACTCGCATTAAAATAATAATAATAATAATAATAATACAAACGGATTATTTTAATAACCACACGTTTCTTAGAAAAACGAATTGATTATAATATTAATATACCTCATACGTATATGGGGGACAATCGGTGGTCGAGTGATGGCTTATACAAGGCTTATACGGCCCGGTGCAAGATAATAATAAGTTTATAAATCTAAAATTATGATAGGTACGTATATCACAATATTCAAATATCGATATTTTCACCCATGGATACTGTAGTATCGATTTCTCAAGTTTTAATAATTTACGTGCACGGAACGAAAAAAATGTACTATACTCACGACTCACCTACTTTTAATATTTGTATATGAAATATCTAACTACATACAAGCTTAGAAAAGTAAGTCCTGATTGGGAAGCCAGCGGGTTCACCTATTCTGCAGTTTTCGGACAAAAATAATATCTAGAGGTGATTTTTAAAAATTTAACTTTCGATTTTTCCGAAATTCATTTCATATGTTTAGCACCTATATTATAATTTTAATGTAAACAATTATTTTTTTATACTTTTGTGGTATACCACATAAATATCTATTGGTTATTGAAAATGAAAAATATTAGCAATGGATTATTCAATGATGGCATAATATTGTTTACAAGAGTTGATGTGTACGCCAATGCGATAAAATATAAAATCGTTGATGACAAAATAAAAACAGAATAATATTGTATTACCTAATTCCCATTGAAATGGGGGGGAGAGGGGTATTCAATGAAAGCTTAGTACGGTGGCCAATATACAATATAATATTATAATTTATAGCCTGACTGACCTGCGATTTTCTTCTCCCTCATTTTGTTCCAAAAAGTTTCTGACCGGCCAACCTTCCATTGCTTCTCGAACTTGACGCTCACGCTACGGAAAAACTTGAAACCGAATTTATCGCCGACGCCGGCCATAACATTCGGTGCTCGATAGCGTAAGGCACGCCACGCCGTTGCAGGTGGTCCGCGGACGGTTGTCGCTCAAACGTTTCTACATTATTATCTCTCGCAAGCCCGCCGCGACTCCCATCGCTGCACGCGCAGCCGTAACGCCCACCGCCGCCGCCGCCGCGGCGAAGGTTCAAAATTCGTTCACGCCGAATCCGACGGTAAAAAAAAAAATATTACCCTCAACCACCGGTGGCGGCCGCCTAGTTAGCGACTAGTTTTAATCTCGAGTCGAAATCTATAGTAAATAGATTGTTATCTGGGTACCATACACCACTACCACTGCTACCACTATAATATCCCTATAACGCAGTTAACGTGACGGTTAAATATATATATATATATTAAACGACACCTATAAGACTGTATAACTATAAAAAAAAAAATTACGCACGAACCGCAATAACGACAATCGCTAAAAAAAAATGTACAGCGCACAGATGATTACGCCAAACGCTACTGAATATCATTACATTATCTATATGTATAATAGTACTATATATTTTTGTCGTTTGGGCATACTTTGTTCGTCCAATCATCAGTTGAGTAAACACAGACATTTGGAATCTCTTATTCAAACAAATTCGTAAACGTACAATGACATATTATATTGTATATATAGATATACTCTATTAGTCTCTATATAGGTATGTCATCGATTGTTTTTAATTTACCAACAACACTTATACACTATATAATAATATATATTATTATAGATATAGGTATATAATATGTGTATACAATCTCTCCAATGAAATTATATTACCATGTGGAGGACTGCCACTGTAGAGCTATATTATAGTACAAACTGACATAGCCTCGTTATAAAAACATATTAAATTATTGCACAACAAAATACCTATAATACCTTGACAATATATTATAATATTATATCCATATTTCCATTCGGCGACCGCATACAGTACAGAGTACAAAAATAATCGTTCTATACACCAATTTAGTAGATGCTAAGTAAATTGTATTGTTTGGATTTACTTTAAACGTTCTCTACGTTTTATACAAATAAGTATACCTATATACTATTGTACAAACCTATATAATTTATATAAACCATGTTTATTCATCTCAAAACACTCCTTTTTTACTCGAATATAATTAAAACTCATTTCGTATGCATATAATAGGATGGGTATTGTTTCCTCTCCGAAGCATTTTTGTTTTTTATCGTAGGTACACCTTGTCAATACATACGCCTAAACATTTTTATATGAATATACCTAAACTATCCATATATTCTCCATGTTTGATAAGGTTTTTGTTGATTTTCAATCAAATATATTTTGTTATTGTTATCGGTATATTTTTCTTTTAGAAAAAGAGTTCTTGTTCGATTGTTGTTGTTTTTGAACATTAAGCATTTTATTAAAATGTTTTATTTGAGATGTAGTACGATCTAAATAATGTGTTTTTATTATTTAATACATTTCTGATAAGACTATCTCATTTTTATTGCAAAATAAAAGGTATGCCACGCGACCGATTTTCGGGGTTAGTATATCGAGCAAGAGTTGTATTAGGTTAGCCTATGTATCGGTTATCGGGTTTGTATTTAACAGTTGCTAATTATAAGTTAGTTGGATCCCTGGTCATCTCCATAAAATATACTATTTATTAATATATTTATATAGTACGTAAATAGGGGTATCCCAAATGGCAAATAATCATCAAATATCAAAAATTGTGCTTCAAGTAACCATTTTCAAAAGGCAGGTAGGTACTTTGCAATAAGCAGCATTAGACAAATGATATAAAATAAAAAATAAAACTAATATAATATATAAAAAAAAACAGATTGATTAATTGAAGTAGCTAAAAACATAACTAAAAACTATACGGTCTATAGACTAGAGATCCGCGTTCTTTAAAAATTTTGTACAAGCCAGCAGCTAGCCACTGGCCGGTACAGTAATATAGTATAAATGTGTACACGTTATACCTATAATACGCTAGCGTATTTAAATCAAAATATGCCACAGGCCTAAAACCGTATACGCAAGAAAACTGATAAAATAATATGCATACCTGGACGGCAATAATGCAATAACAATATTATTATTGTGTCGTCTTGTATAATGGCTATCGCGGTGGTTAGCATAATAGTCAGGTACCTATATATATTATTATAGTAATACAAATTATGCTGCTAATCGGCCAGCGTCACGTTACAGCATAAGCCGTAGCCGTCTACGGATCGCGATAACAAACGTATCGAGGCGTTTAACCGTCGAGAAATTTTGACTTCGCGTCGTCGAGGCTTAACCCATATACAGTTTGTTACGATATCGCAGTTTTAAACATAACGCGAGCAAATAATAATAATAATAAAAAAACTTACCTGCTAAGTATCGTTCCGAGTGACATTTGTGATGTTTCCATTCCTAAACAACAAGCAAACACGAAGCAAATTAAACATTTATTTGAAGCGAATTTTCTCAAATTTTCTCACAGTATTAAATGTCACGGGCGTTCAGTTAAAAGTCATCGAGTACTGGCGGTTCTAGCGAACGGGCTACAGAGGCAGCTCGTACAAAATTATTTCATTATTTCATCATAATGTTAATAAATTATTTACATTTTAACACTTATTATAAGATTTCAAGGATTGAAATAACAAAAAATTGTTATAGTCTTGACAAATATTAGATTTGAGTTAAGTCATGACTATCATGATCGACTACCAATTATACAAGTAAATATAATATATTATATCCAATATACCCCACATGAAATGGGGGGAAAAATCGTTCATTTTATTAGTCAGTAATAGTTTTTTTTTTTATATACAATTTTATGTGCCTACATTTTATAATAACGACAAACCAATAGTTTTAAATTTTAATAACACATTTTTGGGGAAACATCGGAAAAAATTAGATGATAATTGTTACTATTTATTGCCCATTCGAAATGTAAGCCTCGGAACCGACTTTGGAACCAAGTAATTTTTTTATATTTTAATGTACTTATTAAGAGGGATTCAATCGACTTGAACTGGTTTAGTAATTATCGGGTCGTTTTTGACATATTGGACGGTTGGTGTAAAAAAAAAAAAACAGAGCCTCTTAACTAAACGCCTTGCACTGCACATGTGATGTGTGAACAAGCTCCAAAAATACCTCCGATCCGCCAGTATATTTGGTCCTGCGAGGCAGCGTCTGAGTGGATTTTATAAGATGTGGAGCAGACGAGCTTTTGCAGGCATCCGCCAATTCTTGGGTGACTTTTCCACCACCGCCGCCGTCCAATGAAACAGCTGTCGGGCTGGGCAACTCGTAAGATATGACGTTTTTCCCCGGAAATCCGGATTCACTGGTCAAAGGCAACCGATTCGGTCGCGTTGCTGGACGATGATATTGGTCTTTTATATTTTCCACTGTGGGGGGTACCCACACCGGTTGTTCCGTGTATTTGATGGTCGCCCGACGGTCGGCGTGTCGTCTCTGCAGCCTCTCCCACGTCTCTTTCCTTCTGCATTTCTGGTTTCCCGCTGTACGTTACGAATAAAAAACACTGTTAATATTACACATTATATATGTATTATTTATACCATATTATTCACGTCCCACATTCCCAACACGACAATATAATATACATTGTATAAATCGATAAATAATCGTAGAAAATAAGTGTATTGATATTTTAGGATCGTCTGAAACTAGTCTATGTAGATACTATTTACCGATGATTATTATCATCGACGATAGGTATATTATCATGGAATGTGTATATTTTAAACGTAAAACGAAATGGTACGCGTATGACCGTTGGTTGGTATTCGAGTGCAGTAGCGCATTATTATCGGCCATAACGGCCATAGGTCACTTATAAGTTAGGTATATTATTTTTAAATAAAAGCCAATGATAAGCCTAACTATTTTAGGTATTTTATAAAGATAATCAGCATAGCCTGAAAGCCATCAGGACGTTTTCATCCCATTTTAAATTAAATAACTTTTTTAATTTATCAAAAATGCGTAACATAATAATAATGTATTTCATAGGAATAGCCTTGAATTAAAATGTAATTAAAATATAGAACCAAGCATTATCTTAAAAAGAAAACATTTTTTTGTAAGTTAAAAACTATATTATTAATACTAAGTAGTTTAGATATTGAAATTTTAAGCTCTTATTAAACAAAATAAATATCTGCCTATGAACTGATTTTTGAAATTAATAGACAATAGTTGAAATACCACATATTATATTACTATGCTCAATGTGTAGTTCTGCAGGCCTACGAAATAAAAATAAACTATACTTTGATATCGAAATAGTTTTTAAAAGTAGTTGTATTCAATATTTAAATATTATGTAGGCACACGGATTTCCTCTGGAATAACAAACTCTACGGCGGGAAAATAATAAATATAAACATTGCCAACCACAGAAAAACATAGCTGACCTACTAGGTTCGAGTTATTTATAGTGTTTTTCCAAATATAAAAATCGTTTGAATAAAAAATATATATACGACATAAATGTTCAACAAGCAGTAAAACAAATTAATGTGAAAAATAAGTCCGATGAAACGAATGCCATCACGATGTTGATTTTTTAGAGAATTTACTACAAACGAGAACACGATTCTATATCATAAAATCTTTCGGATAGAGAACGTGATTTAACGATGACTCTAATTTTAACACATTGATTTTACCGAATGACATACGTTTTTTTAATACGATATTCATACTGTTGATCAAGTTTTTTTTTTAACAAGACAGTAAATTATTGTTTAGCGAAAGAGTATGTTTATCAACGTCGTTTATTAATACTATAATATTTTTGCAACTTTTTTAATCAAATACTTACATTTCGAATACCGGTGGTGTGGTGGCGATGCAGTTCCAATACCGGACTCGGGTTCGTCGGACCGTCCAGGAGGGGTGACGGACGATTCGGTGGAAGATCCGCAACTGATGTGGTGGTCGGTCACCGAATCGTCGGTTGAACTACACGGTGTCACGGCTTCTTCTTCAGCTGAAGAACAGTTACCTGTGTCCGAACGGTCAGAGAACCACGTGAAGCTCGAAGACATACTACAAGTCGGCGACGTCTGAGTGGCCACTTCCAGGTGGGGACCTCCGCTGCTGTCCTGTCGTTCAAACTGTCGAGACATCGTACAGTACGTTGGATTACAATTACAGTATTGTAAAAATTATGTAAAATTATGTATTCATAGTCATAAAATTGTATCAATAAAAAAAAATTATATTTATGAGCAGGAAAATACTAGAGTATAGGTACGAGACACTATAGTCATTACTCATTACACATATAGTTATAATACGTATTATACCATATGGGTGTACAGTACCTGTTTCTGTTGTTGTGCGATGATCGTTTGAAATCGGTTAAGAGACGACCGGCGAACGGGCGCAGGTGGAGTGGTGTTGAGTACCTTGACTTTGAGCAGCACAGCTGACTTGTCTTCATAACAGTCTGGTAATTGTACGCTACTTTGATCCAAAGATCGAGAACGACACCGTTTTCGTTTGGTTGGCGACAGGCGGTAACGCATGTTGTCAGAAAAAACACCACTGCCGCAGTTATCACTGAAATACACTTTTTCGTCTGAAATATACATACAATATTAATTTTACACTTAGGTATATGAATAAGTACCAAGCTGTTTGAATAAAACCATAAAACCATTAAAACCAATAAAGTTCAGAAATAATAAATAATAATTATAGATAGGTGCATGATATATAATACGACTACCTATACCTACTTTATATATATTAAATACTTATATCTAAATATCACCAGAATAATATTTTACAAAAACGGTAAATTCCTTAATATAGGTACTTTTATTTATATAATAATGATACACATTCAAAGTGTTTTTAGGATGTCACTACTTATATAAAGTGATAAAAGTTCAAGAAAAAAATTACGTTGAACGATTTTCAATCGGAGTAGCCATGAAAATAAATACGAATCCACATTTGGAGTAATAACTATAATATTATACCATCTGGTCAGTGATTACTATTCAAGTCTGCTCGCGCACTCGTAAATCAGATGGTTATATTTAAGAACTATATAACACATATAACTTAACAAAACGATTATTTATTCAAAAGCACACTGACCTATTCCTTCAGCACATGCCTGGCAAACAATCCGTTCCGGTAATTGCAATTCAAGTATAACGTCATCGAACCGACCACCAAAGTCGTCCGTCAAGTAGTCGCCATTTTCTGCGCTGCAACGATCGTCTTTATTTGCTTCATTGCTGCTACGGTTCGGCGGCCAGTTCTTCTCAAGCTTTCCGGGTGGCTCTGCGGATTTCTTGGACAACTGGTTGAAGACTTCATCCAGCTCTTCCTACGGAACGGAACATAGAATTAAATGATATCTAACAGGTTAATTAATTAATATTTTATTTTTCCTTAAAATAACCGACGAACTCACAATATGGACACGCTAGTGTGCCGGTCAAATCACGAGTGTCGTCTAAAATATGGTCCCAAGTCGTATTTGACATATTATTATTATTATTCTAATCAGACGCAACGCGTTCAGGAGTTCTCAAAACCAGTCACGCCCGGTCTGATTCAGTTTACCGGGTCCATTCGCAAAACGACGACGACGACTGCGGTTGCAGTCGAACGGTCGAGGGAGTTTGTAAGTATAGGTACTACGTACACATATTATATAGGGAGGGACCTTCTAATAAACGTCACGTCAAATGTTTAAAAACAATAATAAACATGGGTATCTATATTGGTTAGGTTAGGTACCTATAGTACATTGTGATACGATTGTCGTGCTCGTTTGGTAACTACTGCCACGGTCCTATATTTTATATTATTATCGTTTCGCAGTGGGAAGTCGTATGACCATATCGGTAAGAGTTGGCGTGCGCATACATATATATGCCGGTTACACGGCGAGGCCTACGTGCGTCCAGCGTAGAGGTAGGTACCAGCAACATATTATATACATACGCATAGTGGGCATAAGTCCGGCCTTGTCTGTGCCGAACGTCATACGGCGGCGTTCGCGCGATTGACATATTTACCGGTTGTTTGTTCTTTTTATATTTTTTAATTTACCCGTCGCCGCGGCATGCCCACGAGCGCCACATTTCGGCTACCACAGTCCGACCGCCACCGCGCCAAAATATCTGTACACAGACACTACGGAACATTTTATCCTACACGCACCGCAGTAATAATAATATGCCGTCATCTTTGGTATATTATGGCATGTGAACATGGAATATGAATTCCTGTGGGGGGGGGGGGGGAAGTACGAAATAGTAGTACAAGATCTATATATAATACACTAATAATAATTAATATTGACAATCACTGATGGTGTCCAAAATTTATTTTCTTGGAAAATATAATCCCGATTACGCAGTAAAATAATCCATTAACGGAAATTAATTTTAAACCTTCTTCTTGGACATGAAATAATTATACGTTTTGCAAATTATACAATTTTAAATCATTTAAGAATGAGTGGGTATAATAATATAATAGTTACCTATACCTACTATGAATTTTTTATTTTTATTATTTCCATTAAAATGTAAAATTTTTAAATAATTTAAATACAATGAAACATTGACGTACAACAATTCAAAATAATATTATGAATTATGATTATTATGTGTTCAAAAATATTCAGCTTTCGATACATCGCATTTTGTTCAAATCAATTATAGATGAAAAAAAATTAAATATTTATTAAGTTTATAAATTCCATACAATAAGCAGACACGCCCAACCAAAACATAATGTGCCTTACAATTAAATTACAAATTTAGATTTAACCGATTTAAGTTTAAATATTAAGTTTATAAAATAAAAAATATATTGTTTTTAATAACCTACAATATATGTAACAATTCTATTATATAGATACACGTATTATTGCTATATGTAATTAGCAACAACATCACTCTATTAAATACCTACATGTTTTCATTTTCTATTAAAATTAATTGCGAAACGAGTTTCATTTAATTTGTTTTAAATTGTGAAACCATCTGTTTTCAATTTAAATCTTAGAATATTAACAATCCATAATTACAGATTTCCATTCAACGAATATGGAGTTTTTATATAGAGTATCGTTTTGAGTAAATTACAAATATTATGAGTACAAACTACAAAGAAATAACATAATATAAAGGATACAGAGAAGTATTACAAAATAACATTTTTTATCAAATATTATAAAAATATCATGTATCATCAAAACTGTCTGTATTATTTGTTTATGTCTACCAACAGTTTTCAAGAAAATTTTAAAAACGTTTAAACTATCGCAAAACCTAATATTGTGAAATTTGGAGCTTAAAGAATCCCTTTTAAGTACCTACTTAAATTCGATGTATCATTTATTTGGAAATTGATAGCATATAATGTACTTATACTGCATGACAGATTACAAAATTGTTATTGCGTTGCGATAAAAAATGTACATTAATAGATAGTCATATCAAAGGAAACTTAGGGAAATCGAAATAAATTATAATAGTCAACGATGATGAATCTACGTGTTATTATTATAGCCATACATATACCTATTATGATTCAAAGTAAACCTATAATCTATTGAATAAAGATCTGATGATATGATATTTATTTTTATTATTTCGTTTTATTATGTGTTTCTTAACTATTTGTTCAATTATATCATTAAAATACTTAAGTATTACAATGTATTTTCAAGGACTTCGAGTGCATGCATAATTTATTACCATCTAATAACGTACTTAAATCAATCATATCAATCGAACAATATTCAATGGACGTATCATTTGATCGATTTTATGATTTTATTATTGTGTTGGATACGTGTGATATTATAACATTCCATATGGAGTCAGTATGTATGTGGCAACTGACAAGGGTGGATTTAGGTGGTATTATTGTTACCACACCAAACATTTTCGGTTTGAAATTTTTATTTTTAAACGAAAATCGATTGAGCAGAAGTAGGTGATATTTTTTCTTTATCATACACCAAAATCTACACCGTAGGTAATAATATTAAAATTTATTTTCCAAAAAACTTCGATACCGACTGTTGTAAGGAGTTATAGGCAATTGTCTAAGTGCTTGCGTGCATTTCGTGCATTTCGGAATGTGTGATCATTAGTTTTTGTGAAATGTAGACAATGTAGTGCAAAAGAGATCACCTTAACTCCTGCTCGCACACACGCACAAGTCAAAAATATGTAGTCGACGAGTTATATTTTCACTAAAAACATATATTTTTTGTCAAATACTTACCGACATAGATGGTAATATGTGATAAGAAATCTGAAAATATGTTATTTTAATTTGTTACCTACCTAGTAATTTGATATTTTTTTTCTCGATTCTGAATTATTTTTAAAATCAAATTTAAGGTGTACCTGGTAACCCACCCAAAAGATGAAAAAGAAAATCGTGTCGTGACCTATACTCTTCTATAACGTCTTAATCCTATAACCTCAATCCAGGAGTGTCATCAGTGGGCGGCTTCTCATATCAAGAATTTGTAACCTAACCCAACCTTCGCCTTTCATTATCACTTAAGCTATTTTAACACAAATTACAAATTATGTATTGATTATTTAATTTAAAAAAAAAAAAATTAAGTTGAAGATTAGAGTCAACATTAAAAACCAAGAACCCAAGATCGACCTCAAATAACCTTCATTAGAAATTAAAATATGTTATCAGATGTCTTACCAACAATTTCTAGTGGATAAAATATGGACATGTTTTCGAGAAAAATAGTCAGTATTGAATTCCAACATATGACTATGAATTAATCTAAAATTCAGAAACGAAGTAATATGCCGAATAAATCTTTGTACAATTTTTAGAAGTTTTAAAACTGATGATCAAAATCTTTAACCTTCCGACCGACCAATCATTTCCATAAGTAGATAGGTTTATATAATTATGGCTGGAATATTAAAAATAATTTGATAATACATTCAAAATAAACAAATAAACATTTACCGTAGGCCCAAAAATCACAATATCATGCAATAATATATTTTTATACCTATTACATATCATACAGGGTGTATCTTATGTCATTGTACGCGGGGTTTTTTAACGATTATGGATCGATGACATAGAATTTCGTTAAAACGAAAAAAGACGTGTTTCTTTATTTTTAACGGCCATTTTTTTATAACAATTTCAAAATTTTTAAACACGCAGGTGTACCAATAGCAAAATAAACTTTATTTTTTTAAAAGGTATAGCTACTATATTTTTTAATGGATTCCGGTAAAGCTTTTTTTCTGAAAATCATCCTAAATCATAAATTTAGGTTCGCTAGTTTATTAACTATATGGTCCTCTAAAGTTTAGTAAAATATGCTTAATACTTCTAATTGAAATAATTGTTATAGGTTTAATAAATAAATTAACAAGAGCTAAATAATTTTTTTATATAACTAGGTATATTTTAATACACTTAAGAAGTTTAATCGGTAATCTAATGACACTATCAAAAAAAAAAAAAACAAAAACAAACAAAATTGTTGGCAAACATAATTTGTTATTTTCATTTCAACATACAATCATCAAAATCAGTATTATTATAGGTAATCGTTATTAATTAATCCACAGTTACTTTTCTTACAATATCATAAACTTGGATTCTTTATTAGGTGGCTAAAGTAATAATGATAAATTGGTAAATGGTATTCGATTGTTGACATTAATGTCTTAGGTATGTATGGGGGTTAAAAAAATTGTGTAATGAAAAAAGTTCAATGTTTTGTGGTGCTCTTCTCATAGTGGGATAAACTTGAAATTTGAACTATATATAGATTCCCTATATTCCCTGGTAGGTATCGGATGCAAAGTATGAATTTAGGAGTTGAAAATACTTGAAATAAACCCTTCATATTTTTTAGTTTTGGACATTTACATTTTATTTCGTACTTTTCCTATCATACTTTTCTTAGAATAACATTAATTTGGATTCTTTATTAGGTGCCATGTGGCTATGGTAATACCTATTGGTATTTGATTCCTGTTAAGGGGATTCGAAGCGGTGATTTAATAAGGGGTCGTGTATAGGCAATTCGATGTCTTATAGTCGTTTCGCAGTGTGTTTGTGTGCGAAGTAAATTATCATTAGTGTGAGTAGATACGTTCGGAATTAGTGGTTCGCACGCGCATGCACATGTTACATAATAAAATATTTTGTTCCAACTAGAAACTAATTTCAATCAATTGAGATCTAAAAGCCTGACAAAAATACGATAACTTAGAATGATCGGATTTTAGTTCTGTAAACATATTTGAACTCATCGGTCTTTTTCCTAGGTTATTGTGAAGTTGATTTTTGAATAACTGTTTAACTTTTTAAAGAAAGACACAAACAATTTAAAAAAAATTGAGAAATCAAAATATGATTTAACATGAATTCTAGGAAAAAATATCGAAAATTGATTCCCACAATAACCTAGGAAAATTGTCGATGAACTTGAATCTTTTTACAGAATTTAAATCTGATAATTATAAGTAGACGTAATTTTGTCAGGCTTTTAGGTCTAAATCATGAAATAAATACGCTGCTTTCAACCGCCTTAAAATAATAATGGAAATCTGTAATTAACAAAGATTAAAAGTATGCCTAAGTTAGGTACAAACCTATATTGAGATTAACTATTTATCTAAATATCTTGCAAATAGTTTATTTTAAATCACGATTATTAAATAATTCTTATGAATTTCAACTGCTAAATTCATACTTGCGATACGGTTCAAATTTCAAGTTATAAAAATTAAAAGTTAGTTAGAAGAAAAAATTATTTAACTCTTGTAAATTAAACCTACATTAAAACCTAATTAAAAGTATTAATGCATATTTTACTAATCTTTAGAGGACCATAGTTAATAAATTGATGATTTGACTATCAACATTTTCAGAAAAAAAAGGTTTACCGGGACCATTCAAAAATATAATATAATTTTTTATAGTTACCATTTGAAAAAATAAAGTTGATTTTGGTATTGGTACACCTGCAGCGTGTTTAAAAATTTTGAAATTGTTATAAAAAATTCCTGTTAAAAATAAAGAAACAAGTCTTTTTTCTTTTTAACGAAATTCTATGCCATCGTCCATAATCGTTAAAAATCCTCGCGTACAATGACATAAGATACACCCTGTATAGTTTAAAATAAACAAATTCATTTTTTCCATCTTATATTGCTATATGCAATAATTGAAACCGAAACCGAAATGTGATATTTTTATTAAATATTCATGAAAATAAATTTGAAAATTTATTTTGTTTTGAGACTAAAACATTTAAAAATCGGCAATGAAGTACCGCTGCGAACCGAAAATCTCAATTGTTTTTATACTAAATCCGGTTTGTGAATAATAAATAAGTACAAAGATTTTGAACACGAATTTAGGTATAAGTATAGGTATTTATTTGTCCTACGATTTACCTAACTTTAAACACATTACGTTTTTTTTCCCAGCAACATTTTTAGTCCAAAATCGAAACGCATTAAACGATTTAAAACCTCCGACAAATTGTCGTTCCAAAATAAATAAATGTTTTCATATTTTCACTAAGCAAATGAAATAACAAAAATGCTATGCGCAAGCTGAAATTCATCAGTACAAAGAAAATACATTTAAATTATCTATACTTAACGACGCGAAGGCTTAACTACTATACAGTTATTCAAATTTAAAATAGAACAATACGTCAATACGTATTTCGTGGTGTATTCGATTATGTTTAGAGTACTAATAATAACATAATAATATATTATTAACAAATAAATTTTAAAGATGGTTTATAAAAAGATTCTCACCAATTTCATGCGGCTAAACCACATGTCAATATGTTTAAACTAATGGCTAATGGGATTCGATGTTTTTTTTTTACAGCATATTATATTAAGTAATAACATTAATCTGCTCGAGACAGATCGGTATATATATTTTTTTATATACCTGTATATTTTTCACGAGACGATTTTAATAAAATATGCCCGAGTAAATAACGAAAAAATGTTGTAGTCGGAGTTTGTATAAACAAGATATCTCACTAATACATTGTTTTAGTTGGGAATACATTATTTTATTATTTTAAAACGGTTTTCATCGACACACGGCGATGGTTTTACACGTTTTATATATTATTAATATTAAAACACTACTCGTATGAAAAAAAATAATAAACACACTAATAAAACATACCAACATAGACCATTTTTCGATGAACAAAATATTTAAATTATTCATTAGGTACAATAAAGTATACACAGCCGTAGTATTGTGTTACTCGTCAAAAAAAGTTTTATAAATATTTTGCTATTTTACAGTAATTTATTATTTATAAAGATCCTATATAAATTCACTTATATAATATATGATTCAATGATAAAAAGTTTTTACGTTTTAAACATAAAGTCGTTGATGTTTAATTATTCTGAAATTAATTAATATATTCGTAATAATACCACAATACTTTTATAAGCAATACCATTATATGCTACGCCTTGTGTATACACAGTTGGCCACCACACTGACATGCGATTATATTTAATTGCAATATTTTTTTTTATTATTTCAAGGAGATTCATGTTAAATAATAATAATAAGAATTGCGAATGTATTGTTTCACATTTTTAAAAGTTAAGTTTCTTATTTTATTTTATTCTTGACCATTTGGCAAATATTGTTACATATTTTTCTTTTAAAAGGACATTTTATAGGCGTATAAGTTTAAAAATATTGTGATAAACTTTAAACAAAGATATTAATTGTAAAAATTAAGATAAATTTACAAGCGAGTCAACGCAAAACCGGTTATTATTTAATGTAATAATAAATTATTATAATTAAAATAAATAAACAATCTAACCAGAGATTGATCGTGGAACGACTAAACCGCGTTAAACTTTTCAATATTATTTTTAAAGAAATATTTGCTTAGGTACACTTTTAACTTCTAAGAGACATATTTTTCTCTATTTCTTCTAAAACTATTAATTATAAAATGTTAATTTAAAGTACAATCTGCGTGTAATACATAGACGTTCTGAGCGAAATATTTATTTGAGTTTTGTAAAGTGAAAAAAAAAAAAAATATGTAAATAATCTCTTATCTTTAATTTGTAAAACCAATACGAAATTCCTCTTTCCATCTCTGCTTTATCAAAAAAACAGTTTTCAAAAGATTTAATATCATCAACTGGCAACCACTTACATATATTATATAAAATGCATTAAATTATACATTATTATACGTTAGTCATAAGTATAAATATATTATAACACCTATATTTATAAAATGTACCTAGCTATATGTAATTTGAATATAATTACCATTTTTACATATTCACGATTATTCTAATTGTCTATATCTTATGTGTCACTACTCATTACACATATAACACGTGATATTAAATAATATGTATGTATTTCAAGGTTATTTTTTAAAAAGGAAAGGTGTAGATATCCCAAAAAACCGCACGCGTAATGGCACACCATATTTGTTATTAGGTATATATGTTTAAAAGAGCTAACGTTTAACTTCAATGCGGAAAAACAAACTTGTAAGTATGAATATAATGAAATATAAAATTATGATTACAATGTAATAATCTTTCACTCTTGTGTTCGTTGTTAAAAAAGTACTAATGAGTAACACGCACATATATACGATATATTGTGTCCCCGCACTATATGTGTAGTTTAGGTCGTATATCGTAGTGGGAACTGCAGTGGAAGTCCCATCACTTTAGTACATAAAAAAAAACAATACAAACATCGGGAAGCACATGGTATAATATGTGACATTAGCATTTAGTGGTATAGGAATGACTTATGTAACACGTGGAACAATTATTTTCGAATTCAACAAATATTTAGTTGTAACTTGTTATTCTATATAAGTAGGTAATCTGCATATGTTACATGTCATAAATTATAAATGTTTTAAACTTAATAAAACAAATTAATTAATGTAAAAATGTACTAAAATTTAAAAAAAAAACAAATCGGGCAAAATAAAAAGGTTTCAATAAATCAAACTTACTGCAACTTTTTCTAAATAGTTCTCCATCTCCTGGTACGGATCAAATCGTGGGGTTAACTCGTCGGAAGCCATCGAAACAATATCTGCCGTCCTGTAATAATACACACAATACAATCAGAAAAAAAGTTATATGATTCTTCAACTCTTAATAAAAAAAAAATTAATTTAAAACTCATTCCAAGATGAAAAAGTTTTTTATATTTTATATTCGGTAAATACTTATACGACGTTTGTTGTTAAAATATAATAGATATAGTATTGCCAAGTAATGCCAATTGGTGATATCGTTAGATTTCTCAAGCTATGCACAGAATTAAAGGTTTCATAATATATCTATCAAATAAAAATTCTCAATGATCAATATCATGATGTTAAAACTAGTGTACCAACAAGACGTATAATGATATTTTTATAAGAATTTATTAAGAAATTTATTTATTATTATGAATCTTTTTATAAAGTATTAATGTATTATATTACATTAATTAATTTAAAAAAATCAAATTATTTTATAAGCTACATTATTTTATATTATCTTATAGGTTATTGGATTAAGTTAGTTGAATAATTACATCGTAGATATTATTATGAATTCACTCCGATTTTATCGTTTTCTTGTCTTTTACATTTTTCCTCAAATTATAGAAATGAAATCCAAAAAACAATTAACTTTCAACATCACATTTAATATTCATCGTCTACAAATACGATTATAATACATATCAACTGTTTCAAACATAATGGATACTTGACAGTAAATCTGTATGCTGGTATCGTCTGCAGGTTTTTTAAAAATTGTTTAATGAGAAAATATTAACATCAAAAATGGTATGAATAATAACTCTTTTACAACTAAATATTTATAATAACAGTGGTTTTTTAGTTGTATCCTATGAATAATTAATATAATGACGTAAGCCTAAAAAAACATTAGAACGGTCTACTGCAGTGTATAAGTATTACAATAGAATATAGTAGGTATTATAATAATACAAGCATTGTGATGCGTAGCAATATAATAGCATAAATAACATATAATATAGAGGTAAGAATATAGTTTCGATGTACGACGTCGTTCTAATTTAATTATTTGAAGTTTATATGGAATAAATAATAATTAGTCACATAATATGAGTCAAGTTGATAAACTCGCAAAACTATAAAATACATCAATGATAAAGTTTTTTTAAAAACAGTTTTTCGTGATACTTGTAGAATGGAAATAATTCTGAGTTCTGACACATATTTATTATTTACGCATAGATGTATCATGTAATATAGTCGTATAGGTACTATCTCATCAAATGATATATTATAAATACAATTTACAACAGCTTGCTGTCGTCAAACAATTTAATAAATATCACAAAAGTACAAAACGTATATAGTTTTTATTTAGCTCCTTGCATTTATTTGGGTTACGGCTGGATATTGTATTAGACATTTAGACATAGATAGTATTTTTATGCTTATACAATGTAATTGTATACTGCAGCTATTATAGTTGTTACAAGCTCGTGACGTATGAATAATAAACGATATATTAATAATGTCTATGTTTTCTGATGGCACGCAATAACAAAGCATTGTCATTAAGCCAAAATATTTCATAAAGGTATTTTGATCATAAATAATATGTTTCGCAAACATATATAAAATCGTGACGATGGAGTCGATCATTTATAATTGGGTTTATACTATATACTATGAACCTTTATTGGCTGGCTACATTATTGTAAGTGAAAAACTCAAAACTAAAGTCATCATCTCATAATATATTTGTTAATTAGCGCAATTGAGTATTATATCCTTAAATTGTTTGTATACAATCGAGTACGCATTAAAGCGAAAACAAAATCACTTTTAACTAAAGTACATTAATTTTTATCTCTTCTTAAGATCCACAAGTGTTAGTTTCCTAGGTACCTACTTGAATATTTTATCATCTATATTCTATAGATGCCAGAGCCTAGAAGACCTAGATATATTTTGGGTGATTCTTTAAGTAGTAAACATTCACTATACTGAAAACTATTAACGTTTTTCAAAATATTTTTTTACATAATTTTAAATAATTAAGAAAAACATTTTTGAAATACCTACAATTAATTTTTATCGTTATAAATTTAATGTTTTGTGAATGACAGATATATTTTTATTTTCGAATTCTACAGCGTCAGAATATTTCCCCGATAAGTTTGATGTATTAAATCGAATTCCGAACAAGTAGTTAATAAGTTATAACTTATAAGTATTTCAGTTTAGACGGGCTGTGTTTAGAAGGCTAACATTTTGCGAGGTACCTACTTCTGTTCCACTCCACTCATCTTAATTAAATTCTCAGGAAAATATTCTACCTTAGAATATGAAATTAAAACATATGTATTCTGTCATTGAAAGGAGTGAAAATTAAAAAATTGGAACTATAAAAATTATAAAAATATAATTTATTTTAATATACTTTGTTTTTTAATTATTATGAGGGTTTGGTGTTATTCTTGTTACCCGATACATAAAAGATAAAATCTAAAAAAATGGTAAATAAACATAAAAAATATGAAAATAATTAGCAACATTAATGCAGTTTATAATAATTAAGATATAACTGCTATGCTTATAAAGTTATAAATGTCTGAGAACGTTTTATAATATGAGTGATATTTTCTATTCATCATAATATTGCTGGTAGGAAATTATAGATATTACGACGAAGTAAATTTTTTTTTATGTTTCAAGACTGCAATTTTCTAATAAAGACTAACCCAGCGTCCCAACCTTAATCTATATTAAAACAAGGAGATATTTCATAAGACGCGTAAGACTAAAAATATGCTAGCAATTTTAACTCTGCAAAAATCTTAACAAACAATTGGTATTCAAAACACGACACGCCAATATTTATGCATATTATTTATTATATATCTCTATGCAAATTTGAAATGTGTATATGACTGTACTCGACGGGGGAAATAAGCAGAAATACCTAACTGTTTCATATTCGTTTCAATACTGTACATATATAATGCCCATGATGAAAAAAAAATGAAGATATATAAAATGCACAACAATAACAAAACAATTAATATATACAATTAATATATACTTCGTTAATTGAATATAAATAATATGAAATTCAATAAAATATGGAATTTACATAAAATAATTTAAAATTAAAAAAAACTAATTTATTTGTTAAAAAAACTGCTTATTTATCGAGTTATAAATCCAATTATCTAAAACAATACTTTCAATGGAATCAGAATATAATACAGCCAGAGCACATATTATACATAATATAGGTGACATTTTATAATAGTGTGGAACTTAATCGAGTTTCGACGTCAATATAGTACGTCATATGTACTCGTACGTCCACATAACGGAAAAAATGTCTATATAGGTACATACTATTCCTTTTAAAATGCCATTAAAAACGATATTCTAACGCTTATTTCGACTTCATATATGTAAAAGTTCTGGTGTTTTACATGAGTACATATTACATAATATTAATGGCTTGACAATATTCCAATAATTCATATAGCGTTTATAAAAACGCGTCAAAATGAAACACCGTTTTTTTATACTCCCGGTTCCCATATATTGTAATCCTTAGCCAGGTGTTCTAGCAGAAGGTTACAATAATAGACGCACGCGTTCAGGACGGCTCTTTCAATGTATAATTAAACTGTTATTTTTCATCCTTATAGTATTGTCTAGATAATATTATGAGATTTGAACGCTGCCGAAAAATATGATAGAAAAAATATGAAACCGTTTTTTCTTTTTTATTATTATTATTATTATTATTATTTACATTACAATAAAGACGAGAGAAAAACATTCATTTTTTTTTTTTTGTTCCGAATGCCCCGTGGATAAATCTTCGCTCTGCAAGGCGCGGAAATACTTTTCATTGTCGTCCGTTTATTCGGTTGTCGAATTACCGGCATACATTAACCGGATTCATGAGAACCAGATAAATTGAATAATAAAACGACGTACCTACCTGCCGCTATATACAATAATACTATCGAAAATCATACAATAGAGAAACAATTTTCTTTGCTGTTCATTCTACCTACTACATCTATCATTTATTTTGATACCGCAACTATTATTAAAATATTCAAAATGATAATCAAAATTGGCCAAATTTGTAGAAATATTACGTATCAAATATGTTTTTAATTACTATACCTATACATAGTTCTAGGTAACTATTACAATTACATTTTTTATTACTGCAGGCAACTATAATAATATTATGTTTGAATAGATTTAACAGTGTGCGATTTTGTATAAAATTGTAAGCTGTAACATTTCAAAGACGACGATTTTATGATAACTGTTGTCTATTTTTGGGTTAAATAAATGTGTTAGGTAAAGTACACAAAACGGTATTACATGCAACAGTTATATACAGTAAAAAATACTAGTGCAAAAATATTATTCCTGAACACAAATAAAGTATAGGTTCACCAATTCATTATAATTATAATATTGCCAGGAAAAAAATATTTCTTATTGAGTTATTGTTTGATACGTCATAGTTTTTACAAGGTAAATAGAGATCTTGTAGTATTTATTTTTGCCGATCTCATATACAATACTCATTGTTGCTAAATTTAGAAAAATGTCCAGCTTCTATACCGGAACTGGCAAAAAAAAAAAAAAAGAAATCGAGTGGACAGAAATGTGATAGAAATGGTTATATCGGAATACGCCTCTCTATTTATCTCCAGTCTGTCACCAGTATCCGTAGTACCGGCAGTACCTATCAATTATAACAAAAATGCTTTAAAGACTAACAGATTTTATTTCATTATTCAAATGTATACATAATATAAACATGCATGAGTACCAGTACCCACGATTAAGTATTTAGGTATATTAAAATAATATTGGTTAAAACGTAATGATAACAATTATGTGTTTTGTATGATATTAATAATAATAATAACAAACTGACAACGCGTCAAGCGATAGTAATTTAAGTATAGAGTTTAAAACCGATTTCTACTCCAAATCTGACGAGATGATTTAATTTCTTTTAATGCGCGCGCGCGCGA